GAGTGTTTAAACAATAAACAAAAGTCATTTCGCTCAATTGTGTTAATGTCTCAACCCCTAAGTCTATTTTTCTCCAAATTGTTCAGCGCACAGTGTGCAGAAAATTTTTCTGTTTTTACTGAGTTTGGGGTGATTATTTTTCCAAGGTGGCTTCTGTCCACATCCTATGGAGGGAAGTACAGCGTCAGAAGGGCCCCAGAGTCAAGTCCAGTGAGACTGAGTGCCTAACACAGTGCTTGGGATTTTCTGCTTCAGAGTCAGGTCCTCCCCGAAGGTGAAGTCCTCAGGACCTGCTCTCATGTTTTCACACTTGCCTGTGACCTTGGTATCTGGCCTTTTTCTCACTATGCATGTCCTGTATTCACATGTCAGAAGGCATCCAGAACAATGTGAGAACTGGAAAGACAACGAGACACACAGAGACATCAAATTTATAAGAACAATCTGCTTGGATCATTGGGGGCTCCCCTGAGAGGATGGTTGGTGTCTGGAAGAGTATCATTAAAGTCAAAACCAACACATGAACTCAAAGGAAGGTAGTGCACCCTAAAAGGCCATGGCTTAGGATAAAGCCATCTCTGTTGACAACAGAGCCACACCAGATCAGACCCAAGAGCTAGGATCAAGCCTTTACAATAGGGCACAAGTGGATACCCCATGAGGAGGCCCTGTGACTACAGTGTGAGAGATGTGAAAGACTGTAAAGACTCAACAGAGAGTCCAGAGTGCCACAGATCCAAAGACCATGGGGGCAAGAAGAGCATTAGGCATGCAATTTAGCCTAACTGTAAGAGAGTGCATGTCTTCTGAAGCAACAGACCATGTGTAGGGCTATCCACGTGCACTGAAGCCCAGTTCACACTACCATGCCCTGTATGCCAAGGATGGGGCTTCACAGCGGGTTGTTTTTCCTATTGCGTGCCATGGTTGTTTATTAAGATGTCTTTGCTAACAATACCCCTCATGCCTTTCTTTACTTTGTGTCAGTCTACAATGTGGTTTGATTTTTATAGGGCTCACAGTTAAGTGATAATATCTCAAAAGACACTGAAATTTAAGCATGACCCAAAATGTAAGAATATGGATACTTAAATTTGGATGTTAAGGTTGGTAACAGGGAAACTTGTGTTGGTTGATATTTATGGTCAATGTAATGTGATTGGGAACCACCTGGGAGACTAATGCAAACCTCTGGCTGTGTCTGGGAAGCATTTGAGAGATTAACTGAGCTTGAGGAAGATCCACCCTACAAAAGGTGGCTCCATTTCATGGACTGGGGACTTAGTTATAAAGAAAAAATGAAAAAGAGTCAGTCAATAAAATATATGAAGCTGAGTCCAAGAGTGTCAGGTAGGTGGGAAGACAACCATGGGCGTTTTCATCAGAGTGTACACTTTCTTGATCTCCAGTCAGTTAATGGGGAATTGATGACATAAACCCTTTTGGGAAGTATCCCCAAAGAGTAGCCCAGAGAGGCTGTTCTTGGGAACACCCTATGTTTGATATCACACTAAGAATAACATTGCTGTTACACACATCTCAGAGGACGGTTACAACCAAAGAAATATTTGAGATTAATATTTTGAAGAATAATCAGGATATAAGCAAATATATCTGTTAAATAATCAAGTAATTATGTATCTGAAGAGGTGGGGATTACTAGATTTATAACCTTTTCCTATCAATTGGCAGCTTTGCCCAACAAAACCAATAGAAATCAGTTCACAGCACCAAAAGCCTTAAGATGTAAATCTGTGTGTGGTATTGCCCATTTTCCAGCATTGAAAAGGAGTAAGGTCATCCTCTACCACTCAGTGAGTCAGATGCCAGCACAAGCCACATATATGACCCAACTATAAAAACGAAAACCTACCAACAAAAATGTAAACGCTTTATCTTGCCTTTTTTGATCTGTTGAATCTTCCATGCTTAAGCATTCTCAAAAAAAAATACTGGAAAGATATAAAGCCTTCTTCCTCTGTGTAACTAGCTATACAAGAATGCTCATCTCATCTTCTAATGCCATTGACAGTCAACCATGTCTTTCTATGGTCACTTCATCAGCCACCAATTTCAATTCCAGTGTAAGATTTTAGAACAATTTTCTAAATGAAATTAAATTGAATTTGTGTCTTAATGGTATTCATGAAATTCTAATTTTATTTCCTGTACCTACTAGCTAGCTTTAATCTTAATGGTTTGGCAGTGAATTTTTTAAAAATAAATTTCCTTTATATTAGGAATATCTTTGTATGTACATCAGTCAGCTTTGAAAGTTATAAAAGGAGATGGGGATCAGACACTAACCCAAGGAAGGGATAGTACCCAGATGAACCATCAGAGAAGCCCTGTGGACAGGAGGCTCTTCTGTTCGTCTTGGAAGATGGCTTTGGTTGGGTGTGTGTAGTAAGTGAGTGAGCAGAAAGGTCAACAGCAAGACAAATGCAGGGAGTCTTTGGACAGCAATCGGTTTGCTCTACTCCAAAACATGTGCTGTGCTTGTTTAGGTCAGGATGTGAGATTCTACTTTCAGTCAACTTAGCTGTAAAAGGTACAAGACACAATACTGTTTTTTCTGAGATGTGAAGACCATGCTCTGCTGCAGGACTGGGTCTGCACTGTTTCTCTGAAGCCAGTAGCTTTCAACCTTCCTAAAGCTGCCCCTTTCACGCAGTTCCTCTTATTGCAGTGACCACAATCCATAAAATTATTACTGTTGCTACTTCATAACTGGAATTTTGCAACTGTTCTGAATCATAATGCAAATATCTGTGTTTTCATATGGTCTTAGGCAACCCCTGTGAACCTAGAGGTTGAGAATCAAATACTCTACAGAACCACACCCCCCCTTAGAATCTAAGGCTCCATATTGCTCTTCCTCACACCTCACAGTGACGCTTTGAGGCTTACCTAAGACTCTGGTGACCCGAACCATCCATCACAGAAAATGTTGTCATCCTGATGTTGACGACAACTCACTTTCTAATCACCTCAGAAACATCTTGCCTCCCCCCCCCCGCAAGCTCCCCTCAAGCAGCTACCACCCTCTTTTCCAAGGCTGGGGAAATTTCGCTCCCACTATCTTTCTCCTCCTCACCAGTCTTTCCCTGGGTGACTCTTTAATCTTTTATCCCCACAAAGTTCCCGGAACTATAAAAGGATCAAGAGACAGAACAATAAATAAGAGCATCTTTGCTTTCAGACGGGGAACCTGCTGTGCCACACACATCCTTCACTTGTGAGCTTTGACCCCGTGCATTCTGGGTAAGTGCTTTCCAGAGCTGAGGCTGGGCTCCCAGCGGACCTCTCTCCACTCTTTGTTTTCCTTGATCCTTTTAAAAAAACCTGTTTCTCCTTTTAGTCTTGTAAAACTGCATTTTTCTAAATTATCATTGCTTGTTTCCTCCAAGATGATCGTGTTCTCTTTCCCACTCACTCTGATTATTCCTAGAGTTTACCTGCCTGGCAGCAAGGCCTTCTCTACTTGATGTCTCTCAACACAGAACCCTTCTGTTCTTCAGTTCTATGTTACAAACAAGTTTCCATTATCAGACAATATGGCTAAAACCAAATTACTCCAAAATTTCTTAACTTTTGAGGTTTCCAAATATCAATACAGTCCTAGTCACCCAACCTGGAAATTTTGATGCATAACATGAATTTCTGGACTTTAAATCTAAAAGTTTTTTGTTATTGTTGTTACTGTTTTTTTTTTTAAAAAAACTTATCACCATCAAAACTGTTGCAAAATGAACAGAAGAGATGCCAAGTAGAGGAGGCCTGGCTGCCATGCAGATATCATCTACGAACAGTCTGATAATCTTTACATAATCTCCGACATCATGCCTTTACTTCTCCACGGTTATATCAAGATTCCTCTTTAATTATTATTCTTACATTGAAACATTTATTTCATTTGTAGAACTTAACAATTTCAAAATAAAGTTTTAATATCCTCAAATTTAGAAATGAATATCAGGGCTGGAGGGGTGGACAGGTGTAATAGAGTATGTTAATTTTGAAGCAGACATCGGTTCTGTTCCCAGCACCCACATGGTCGCTCACAACTAACCGTAACTTCACTTGTGGGATCTAACACCTTCTACTGGCTTCTCCATGTTCCTGCATGTATGTGTGTGGTGCATGTATATTTAGAACTCTCTCTCTCTCTCTCTCTCTCTCTCTCTCTCACACACACACACACACACACACACACACACACGCAATACAGCTTTTAAAATGCAGAAAAGAACTGGGTGGTGGTGGCAGTGCATGCCTTTAATCCCAGTGCTCGTGGGACACATGATGGTGGTGGTGGATCTCTGTGAGCTCCTGTGAGTTCGAGGCCATCTTGGTCTACAAGAGCAAAATCCAGCTCCAAAGTTATAGAGAAACTTTGTCTCGAAAACAAACAAACAAACAACAACAACAACAACAAAGCAAATTCATATTGTAGAAGGTTTCTGTCCGAGGGGTAAACACGAGGATGTATTTTTCAGTGGTGTTTGAGCCGATATCTATATTTAATCAGTTCATATTCAAATATTACATTATAAAGTATATAATGTAGTCCATATGAAATATAGTTTGTGATTGCAGTATAGAACATACGTAAATGCTATGTTTACTAAGTGCATACATATTATATATATATATATATATATCCAGTATTACGTATTAATCCATATGTCTAAGAAGTATATCCACTTGGAATGATAAAGCTCAGAGGGATGACTCTTCTATTTCCGTGCTCTGTGAGACAAACATTTTGATTCAGGATCTGAAATATCACATGATCAGGACCATTTTCTCAAATGTGGAAAACATGATTAAATGGGTTGGGTCTTGTCCTTCCCATTCAGGAAGCGCACAGATGGCAGAATTTTATTTCCTTTTCAGTTTTGCGTCAATGGCGGAAATAAATTTCTAAGACACTCTTTCTGAGTTCCAATTATTTTGACATCACAGAATTACAGTGCTAGAAAAGAATCTAAGAATGCCCACTCCAGGATTCAAGGAGGCCATCATTTCTCGTGGAAATCTCTTCTATTCTTAAGAATTCAACTTTGTGATCCTGGTATCTCCCCTGCCAGGTAAGTATATAGGGTTTTACACCCCGTTCTATTCCCTCAACTTTTCAAGTTTAATAATGCCCGTCATTATTTCCTGCAGACAGTCTCCAACACCTTTTCTCCCCTTTTCTTTTCCAGAAGATGACACAATGCCAGAAATTCTAAAAGATGTGTATTGGCCAGAATATGCAGCAGGGACAAGTGGGTCTCAGCTCCAGCTCTAAGCTGTGGCTGTGTCTAAAGCATCTGTTTTGCTCAAAATAATTCTTTCTTCTGAAAATGTCTAAAGTTCACATTTCCAATTTCCATGAGCCAAGTATATGTGTACCTTGAGCCCATGGCTTCCCTTTCATCTCTAGGCTGTGGATTCATTCCTCTGAGGTCACGTGGTCAATAGACACTGGCAACTTCCTTGTGTATGGAATCCAAAGCCTTCTTCCTGAGCTTCAGGCCTTGGCTATAAACCTGGTTTGCTGTGGGTTGTGACTAGTGAATGTGTTTTCCTTGTGTCTCTGTGTCTGATTCAGTCTGTTCTCTTACAAAGTCCTCTGTTACAAATGTCAATGTCATGACTGAACCCTGTGGTGTGTTGGCCACTCTTCTGTGAGTTGTGTGTACTCTGCGTGCCTTAGTTATGAACCAGGCGCTGAAGACAGCACTCCCAAAAACTGCAGTACAGCCTAGGTCTTCAGTGTGCATTCCAATCCCAAGCTGGAGCCTCGGACTCTGTGTCTGATTCATTCTGAAAACGTCAGCATCCTGCTGTCCCCTCTTTGAGAATGGTTGTGACTTGTGGTCATTTTCTTCATAAATTGTCTTTAATTTCCATGTCAGTTTGAACCTTGTATAAAGTTAATTAAGTATTAATACAATTAAAACAAGTATCATTGATTGCATCTTTACTCAATATTAAATACTCCTACTAATTATGTTTGATTCTCTGTAATAATGTTTTCATTTACAGATACAGTAGATCTGGGGGAAAATGTTCAGAAAATTTACACCTTTTAAGCTTTATCAACTTACTGTAACTGATAATATAATTTGAAACTCCACTTCCTCTTAAATATATTCCATTGCTTTTAGATTTAAAAGCACTTTTTGTTTAAGGTAAATGGTTACCACCATACATCAGAAGGGGAATTTCATTTAATTTTATCACACCTAGAGTTTGAAAAATTACTTTATTAATTTTTTAATGCTATATGTCACAAAGCCCATTTTCTATTTAAATAGCACCTAACAGGGAATCGATGAGAAATTTGCCAGACCATGTGAAGGTGTTTTTTTTTTTCTGCAGCATTTGCCGTTTGCTTTTCTGTTTGCTTTATTCCTGGACTCTATTGGTTTCAGCACATCCAGCCTCTGAGACCTGATCTGCTCTGAGAACAGAACCTGAGGCTGCATTCTGGAGCAGAGTCTGCATCACAGGAAATCAGTGTGCCTGCTAATACCAAGCAAACCTCTGGAACTCAGTGTGCCTGCTATTACTGAGCAAACCTCTGGAAATCAGTGTGCCTTTTAACACTGAAAAGCTTCCTTTCAAGCATGGTGCTTTGCGAGATCCCAGCACATGGCGTTCTACAAACACAATCCACGGAAATGTTGAAAATAGAAATATTAGTAGTGTATTATCTAATAGTAGACAATGGAAATAAGACTCGATGAAAAGCAGGTACCGGGCACTGGCCAGCTCTTCGGCAGTGAGGAAGCTGCAAACACTGATCACAGTCCCTGCATTGAGCTGTCAGATAGCCAGGGCCTTGAAGGGATGGAAAGCCAGTTTCTAGTGACAACAGGGAAGAGGGAGGGAGAAGTTCTGAATTCCATGGACTCATGCTCCATGGAAGATGTGATCCTCAAAATACAAACGTGCCTTTTCCCCAAAAATCCTCAATGCAAAATCAACACTAAAATCCACACTGCAATTTTTCTAGTTGCAGAGAATACACAGTTTTTTAAAATAAAATTTTTGACTTTGAAATTAGGAAAGTAATAAAAAATTCTATTCTCTTCTTGTTAAAGGTTTTTTCCTTTTTGTCACAGATTTTCTAAGATTAACATGATGTTTTTTTCCTGCCTGCATTAAAAATTAGCTTTTTTATAAGAAGATTAATCTGAGCTTGCACTTATCCTCTTCCTGCCCTGACTTCACATCATTTTACGTGGGAGATAAGCCACATTAGGAATTGTCAAAAGTCATTTTTATCGATGACCAATAGTATTTTAGTGAGACATTTTTAAAGATGTGGAAATTGTTATGAAATCATAAAAAAATGCATCCCCGGTATTTTAAAATGAGCTGGTGGGATGACTGCCGACAACTTTACCAGTTCGCAGCATCCTGCCATTTCCACTGAGTTCCGAGTAGTGTCCACCTTGCTGTGGACGAGCAATGCCACCTCAACAAGGAAAAATCCTGACTGACATGAGGGAGCGCAAGTTACACATCTCCTCATGCCGTCTCCAAGGGCCTGCGGTCCAGTGAAGATGCAGAGATGGATTCTGTTAGAGACTGGAGAAGGGTGCAGAATATCTACCTTGGAATGAGTGCTCCTTCCATAGGGGCCTGAAGGGTTGGGTGGCAGAGTGCTGGAGTCACAGAACCACATAAGATAAGGAAAAAATATAAAACTTTCATGGTTTTATTGTTAATCAATAATGCCATATTGATTGTCTACTCTTAAATGCAAATCGATACCAACTTTTAAAAATGCAACTCAGCAATTCATTAATTATTCTTTGCAAATGGCAACAGAGAGTTTACCACAGATCTCTCGTGGCTTCCTCAAGCCAAGGCAAAGGACGCAGCCCAGAGCTCTATGTCCCTAGGCTTGCTAGCAGTAATGGCTGCTAATGGGTCACAATCTGAAAAAGCACATGAAGAAAATTTATTGAGAAAGTTGCACCTGCTATTCACCCATAGAGTGGTTTGAAAGTAGCACTTAGGAAAAGGCAGAGTTCAAATAGCTGCTTTTGAGGTTCCCAAGTCTCTCTCTCTCTCTCTCTCTCTCTCTCTCTCTCTCTCTCTCTCTCTGTTTCACACACACACACACACACACACACACACAGAAACACACTCTCACACATCTCACATGCACACACACTCAAGCACACATACACTTGCATATGCACACACGCTCACACACACATGCTCTCTTTCTTTCCCTCTCTCTCTCTCTCTCTCTCTCTCTCTCTCTCTCTCTCTCTCTCACACACACACACACACACACTCACACACTTGCACTGTCACATGTGCATACAGACACACATAATCACACACGCTCACAAAATGCTCTCTCTGTGTCACTCTCTCTCTCTGTGTCTCTGTCTCTGTCTCTCTCTGTCTCTCTCTCTCTCTCTCTCTCTCTCTCACACACACACACACACACACTTGCACTGTCACATGTGCATACAGACACACATAATCACACACGCTCACAAAATGCTCTCTCTGTGTCATTCTCTCTCTCTGTGTCTCTGTCTCTGTCTCTGTCTCTCTCTCTCACACACACACACACACACACACACACACATCCCAGTGATGCCGAGACAGAAACTCAGATCTGCACTCAGATAGTCACATGCACAGAGCTATATTTGCAGAACACTAAAAAGGTAGAGGTTCTTTCCTTGGTGTGAGTGTCAGGCTGGCAGGTCAGGCTTGACAGCCCGGCCTCTTTTCTGCTCTGCTGGGTACAATATTGACTTTTGCAGGGAGCCTTGTAAATATCACACTTGTGTACCCGAATCCACATTGAAGCAGTGTGGCGGCATTCAGACTTCCAGCAGACACCAGAGCCACTCAGAGAGCACCCAAGTAACACTTAATTAGAAAGCCAAATAACGAAGGGCTGGCGGTGGTTGTAGACAAAATAAAACACAAGGAAAGAAAGCAGGGTCAGTGTATCAAACAACCTTAGCAAAATCTGAAAGCTAAGATTTGGTGTTTTTAAGGAGGTGGAAAATAGGAGGCTTAGGAAAGGAATAGCCTAACGAGAGGCAGTGATGGATGTTCTGCAGGACTAAATTTTCACTTGAGCACATGAATCTCTCCTTCATTTGGGGCAGGTTCATATAAGCTTGGTGCAGAAATGACCTAAAACCAGCATACGAATAGATACATAAATAAATAAGTAATCCAAACCAAGTATTCTGTGGAATTTCCCAGATTCAGTTTAGCACAGAGGAAACTCAACTGTAGGAATACCAGAATGGAGTGTTTTATTCTATTTCATGATTGTCATAAAGTCTATGATTGACTTTTAAAAAAGCATCTTATCTCTATTCTGGAGCTCGAGCCCCTTTCATGGGGCTACAGGTCAGTTCACAGACCAATGAATCAGAAAATAATGGGTAGGAAATAAGGGCATCCTTTATCTTGTTTATTGATTTCGGGTGACCAAGCAAAGCTGAGACACTGGAGAGGAAAGAAGCAGAGGTGACCATTGGGTGACCAAGCTTCCCATAACCAAGGGCGGCTTTACACAGTAACTTCCGTGACCATTTTCTATCCTTTCTTTGCCCATTATGCATTATATTCATAATCATTTAAGTTACGGCTTATTAAATATACAAGTTTTATATATACACATATATTGTATATGCATGCTTTATATATACATATATAAAATATAGAGATGTATGAATTCTGGACAGCAATAAAAAGATGACAATTTATAATAACTGGAAGCATTTAAATCTGCATTATAGAAATTTTATGACATATATGCAGACAATTGTGATATACACATATACCATCACCTACTTGGTATGGTAAAATTTTAAAAATGTTTTAATATCTGGAAAAATCTTCAATAGTGCTTTGGTTTAGAATATGGCAACTAGGAAAAATGTGATTCCATAATCATTTCAATCCCTTGGAGATCAGTGTACTTTGAGTCTAAGGACTCAGAGCTGGATTCATACGAAGGGAACAAAGACAGCTTACAATGACTGCCCATGGCACACCTAGAAATAGACTCTAAGGTGGTGATATGAAGAAGAACTTGCAACTCCTTCTTCATCCTGGATCCTGGATTACATGGAGACTGAGATGAGTGGATTCCTGTTGGCCTCACTGACTGCTCTTTGCAGGTCAAGCCCTGGTAGCTAAGGCAGCCATCATTATACAGCATGGTCACGCCAGGACACAAAAACGGATCTGAGTGCTGACAGCGAGCCACTGTGCTCAGCTCTGTTTGCCAGGCTGTGATACCGGTTTCCTATGGAGAACTAAGAAGAGTGGGAAACAAGCAAGATGATATGGGCACTGTGAATTCAGGATATCCCACCTTACGCCAGGACAGAAGGAATGCTGCAGTCATTACGACCAGGACGGCCGCTGCGGGATGCTGCAAACCTAAGCCTAACTCACATTCTCACGGAAAAGATGTTCTCTGTCCTTAAATTACAACTATTTACATGCTATTAAAGACCATGGCAATTCGCATTATTAATGATTTTTAATTTGGTAATTCATATTTTAACCTTAGATAGATCTAAATTTCCCCTTTTCAGAAACATATAAAGGGTGGTGCTATTTTGTTTGTGCTATAACAAACAGAGTTTGATTGGAGATCTGAGGGTGGAGCTGGTCACCAGTTAGCTACAGAGGCCAGGCAGTGATGACACACACCTTTAATTCCCACACTTGGGAGGCAGAGGCAGAGGCAGGTGGGTCTCTGTGAGTTCAAGGCCATCCTGGGCTACAGGAAATTGATCCAGTCTAAAAGAGAGTAGGACAGTTGTGGCTCACACCTTTAATCCCAGTATTTGGGAATCACAGGCCTTTAATCCCAGCACTAGGGCGGTGGAAACAGGAAGGGATATGGCTGGGCAGAGAGAGGAATATATGGCAGGAGGAGATAGGAACTCAAGGAATTCAGATTGAAGATTTGTAGAGGCGAAATCTTACCTATCCAGTCTGAGCATTGGTAGAGGTAAGAACTAGTGGCTGGCTGTTCTGCTTCTCTGATCATACATCTGTCAGCCTTTAATATTTGACTCCGGGTTTTTATTTAATAAGAGCAATTAGGATTGTGTTACAATAAATGGCTACTTTAAAAACACAGAATCTGATTGTTTTGATGAGTTATCTTCCATGTAGTTTTGTAAAGCTTGATTGTGATGAATGTTGAGTAAATCAGGATTACATATCACCTAAAACAACTTAGCGACCTGTGAGATGCTTTCAGTGATATCTGTGATGACGTGATTTTGGTCAGGAAACAATCACACATATAGATTCAGGAAAGCTATTTGGAAGGAAAATCACTGAGGAGACCCAACTGCATAATCAAGTGCCTCCATTTTCACCACTTCCCTGTACCTATTGGACGTCCCCTTGTGAGTGAGTGCTGCGTGCCGTTTTTATCAGTCATGCCTTCCCGTTCCCCAGCCATCTCCTGTGCCCTGGCGCTCATTCTCACAGGGCAGGTGTCATTATCACCAAACATATCAAAGGTTTAAATTCCTTTGGAAAGCTAAATTCACAATGGGCTGCCAGGTTTGCCATTATTATGTCTGCCGTTTAATCATGTCATTTATTTAATTTCAAACCTCTCCCAGCGAACTCACATATATTGAAATAAAATATGCAAATGAATTCTATCTCTGGAGAAGAGTAAATTCACCCGTGAAGCAGAATGGATTTCTATTTCCCTAATGCACATTGGCACTTCTGGGCGTCCACTTCCATTAGCCTATAACAGTGTCCCAGCTCTGTCAGCACCAAGAGCCTGTGAAGAAGATAAGCTAGCCCAGCAAAGGACTTCCAAGCCTCACAGGCAAAGAAGGAACACCCAGTGCATTTAAAATCCTAGAATGAAAATTCTCTACCACAAATGTGATACATGTTCTACTAAAATAATTACTTTTCTTCCTGAATGTTAGCACCACAAACCAAGTGGCCTGTTTATATTCAGTCCTGGGCAATGCATGGCTCAAGAGGGTCACCTCTATGTCAGGGAGGAAGGACAGGGCCACATGTGTCAGATAGGTTGTCTGTTTTGACATC